GGGGCGGGATTGTGGGTATTGGGGGGGGGGGTCAAAGAGTACATTTTAAAAAATTATTTGGGTGCACCCCCTAATGAAATGTGACAGGAAACAGTGGAGCATGTAACAGCAGGGCTGGGTCCTAGAGAGAGCCGAACGCGCTAGAGAGAGCCTCAACATTGGCTGCTGGGGTCTCTGGGAAAGGGAGGGAGTGGGGGTGGAAGAGCAAGTCAGGCAGAGGGGCACCAGTTTAATGAGCCCTGCCTAGGGCACCATAAAGCTTAAGGACGGCCCTGCCTGCCTCCTTCAGCCTGACTCACTACTTGGCCCCTTTCCTGCCTCCCTGCCTGGGCTGTGCCGGTGGCCGACAGGAGCTGCGGCTGCGGGTGGTGGGAAGAGGAGGGGCAGGGAGAACCCGGTGGCAAGAGGGTCGGTCCACCTCTGTGCTGCTTTTTCTCCCCCACAGCTGGATTCCAGGGCTCGTCCAAGGGGGCTGCTCCCCAGACTCCCCCAGGCCCGCTCTGTCTGTCCCCAGATCCCCCCGCAGCCAGGCTGGGTGAGTGGCCTGAGAGCCATGAGAACTGGAGTGTCTGGTTATCATAGTATTTCCGCAAAAAGCACTGATTTCTTACAGTAGGAAGTCGGTGCTTTTGCGAAAATTCAAGCGGCCAGTGTAGACAGCTGGCAAGTTTTTCTGGAAAAGCGGCTGATTTTCCGGAAAAACTGGCCAGTCTAGACACAGCCCAGGAGTCTGTGGTTATCCCCACACAGCACTGGGGCTCAGCACCAGTTCCCCCTTCCCGCTGCCATGAGAGCTGGTGAGACTACACAGAAAAGACCCCATTGACACTGGGGCCAAGCACAAGGGTGACAGCTGGTCTCTGGGCCGCTTGCCCCAGGATTGAACCAGAACTAAGTGCTCATCCCTTGAGAACAGCGTCAGCTACACCCCCAGCAGTGGGATTCACGGGCACCAGAGGGACCTGGGGCTTACAGAGCCTAATGGCCAAGAGAGGACTAGGCAATTAGTCTGGACTGTCGCCCGCATTCTCCGGCTGCTCCATCCCATCCCCATGTCAGGCAGGGAACCCCCCGGTCTCTTGTTACCCCTTTCTCACTTAGGGTAACAAGAGACCCTGGCCCGTTATTCTGAAATAACAATGCGAGTGTCCACGCAGCAATTCCACTATTTGGAAATAAAGTCGCAATAACTGATGGCTCATTCCAGCTTCTATAACCCTCCTTCCACAATAACTAATGCTGCTTCCGAAATATCTATTTCCAAATGCTGGTCGTGTGGTCATCCCTAGAGGTTTTTACATTCTGGCTTGACCAAGCCCTTGCTGGGATGAGTTTGTTGGGATTGGTCCTGCTTTGGGAAGGGGTTGGACTCAATGGGTATGTCTAGACAACAGGCTACTGTTGACAAAGCTTCTGTCGACAAAGAGCGTCTAGACTGCAGCCAGTTCTGTCAACAAAGCAAGCTGCTTTGTCGACAAAACCCTGTAGTCTAGACACAACCCTACAGGCAATAACACCTTCTGTCGACAGAACTCTGTTGACAGAAGGCGTTATGCCTCGTAAAATGAGGTTTACCAGCGTCGACAAAACTTCTGAGTTCTGTCACCATTATGTCGACAGAACTCAGCGGTAGTGTAGACGCAGGTAGAGTTTGTTGACAAAAGTCCACTTTTGTCGACAAAACTCTGTAGTCTAGACACACCCCTACAGTGTAGATGCTCTTATTTCAGAATGTATCTTCCAAGAACAGCTTATTCCGAAATAACGGTGCAGTGTAAATGCACCCTGAGTGCCTAGTTCCAAGTTTAGGGCCTGGCAGATGTTTTGGAGGAGTGACTGTCAGTTTGGACCCACCATGCTTCATGGAAAGGGGCCATAGAGTCTAAAAAAGGAAAGAGCAGGAGAACACGCCCAGACAGGCGGCACGGACTGATCCAAAGTGCAACCCGCCTATTTCCCAGCAGAAGGAAGTGAAACTAAACTCTCTGGTCTCTGCACCACAAGCCATGGCTGCTGTGAATCCAGCAAAGACGCTCGAGGATGAAATGACCTGTTCCATTTGCCTGGATTATTTCGACGATCCAGTGTCTCTGGACTGTGATCACAGCTTCTGCCGAGGCTGCATCACCCAGTACCGGGGGAGACTCACCACAGATGTTTCCTGCCCCCAGTGCAGACGGACCTTTCCCCAGGGGAACCTCAGGCCGAACAGGCAGCTGAGGAGTATTGTGGACGCAGCCAGAGAACTCCGGTTGCAGGCAGGGATGAAACCAGCCCCAGAGAGTCTGTGTAAGAAACACCAGGAGCCTCTCAAACTCTTCTGCAGAGAGGATGGAATCCCCATCTGTGTGGTGTGCGACAGATCCAAGGGGCACCGAGCTCACACCGTGATTTCACACCGTGATTCCTGCCGAGGAAGCTGCCGAAGAATTCCAGGTAGGGAAATGCCGACTGCGATCCCTGCCCTCGTGGGACTGAGGGGGAGCTCTGGGGAGCAGCTCCCGCCCTGGGAATCTAGCCAATAGGATCAGGGGTGGGACTGAAGGCAGCTGGGAGGGCCTGGGGATAGGGCACCGCAGCAGGGACATTGCCTCCCAAGTGCCCCTCGTGGCATGGGGTAGTCCTGCCTCAGTTTCCCAAAAAAGACCCATAGTGGCATTTTGTGTGGCCAGTAACAGCCCTGCTCTCCCAGCCGGGACTCTCAGGACTTTGAGTCTGGAGTTTGCTCTTATCATCCTGAAGAAGATCCAGGGTCTCCTCTGTCTGCTCCAGGGGCCTCCTCCCTCTGGCTTTCCCTGGGCCTGTTTGACATATCTCACGCTGGGTTAGATCCCAGGATCCCTCACCCTGCCCTTCATTGTCCCTTCCTGGGGAGAAGAATTGACTGTGTCTCAGGCAGGGCTGACAACCAATGTTCCTTCTAATATTTTCCATCCATGTGTGGAATAAATTTTGTTCTCTGCACCAATGCATGTGTGTCTGAGCAGCACTCGTAGAAACACCTGCTGCCAGCTGTGGGTGACTGGGTGCTCTGCTAATCAGCTGGGCTGCACTGGAATCTCTCCTGGGTGCTGCCCAAGCGCCCGGCTTACAGGGACCCTGCTGAGAGCTCCTCCCTTGAAAGGGCCAGCCAGCCTGTGCCCAGTCTCCTCCCCACCCACCTCTCCTGAGCCACAGGGACCTATGATTATGTGACCCCAGCTCCCTACGGTAACAAGGTCCGACAATTTCAAACACTCTGAAAACACTCCCAGTGTCTGTTACTGTGACTCTGTGCTGAGCCACAGGGAGAGTCCCAGTCATGCAGATTTTCTCTGCAGATTCAGTGGGGGAACCTTGTGCCCACCACGTGTCCATGCTGACGTTAATGGCAATGGCAATAATTGGTAGTGAGTACATGTGACGTCGCGCTGGGGTTCCCCCGCCTCCTGCACCCCCGTAGTGGCACGAACAGACTCCTCCGGCCAGTAGAACAGAGGGAGTTTATTGCTTCTCCAGGATACAGCACAGCACAGATGGAATCCGGTTACAGGGCCAGGCCTAGGATGCCTCGGCCCCCCTTGAGATGGGGGAGACTGGGCCCGTAAATCCCAGCCCCCTTGCTTAGGCTGCGTCCTCCATGATTCCAGACAGAAGCTAAAAATTCTCTTCCAGCCCTGCCCCCCAGCCAGGTGCTGGTCTCCGCCCTCCTCCCTTTGCCTCCTTCCCTAGGAGGCTGAGCCTGGGTGTCTGCGTTAATACACATGTGGGTGAGTCAGTGAGAATCTCCCATCCCAGTGCAGGGGGACCCCGGGTCACAGAGCAGACAGCACCCAGACTACGCCACAGTAGAATGCACTGGTGTCCATAGCACCAGCCTCTCCAAGCCCCAGGGAGTGACTGGGCAAGCCAGCCAGAGAGAGCTCCTAGAAAGAACCAGGGGTGGGAATGGGGGAAGGGCACTGAGGGTAGTTTGCAAACACCTGCAGTCGCCAGAGCTAGGCCATCACGGGTGGCTGCCAGGCCAGATTTCCACCCTGCACCTGCCTGGCTGTGTCCCTCCTCTCTGCACCTCCCCCTCCTTCCCCCCGCATACCCCGTCCTCTCTGGAGGTCCCTGATGTTCACAGTGTCCCTCCTCTCCTCCAGCTCCTTCCCCTGCAATCTTCCCCCTTCCCCCTGTGCATGCAGCCTCTGAGTATGTGACCCCACCTCCCTACGGTAACAAGGGCCGACAATTTCAAACACTCTGGCTGTGTCTAGACTGGCAAGTTTTTCTGCAAAATCAGATGATTTTGCGGAAAAACTTGCCAGCTGTCTACACTTGCCCGTTGAATTTCCGGAAAAGCACTGACGATCTAATGTAAAATCATCAGTGCTTTTCCGGAAATACCATGCTGCTCCCATTCGGGCAAAAGTCTTTTTCTGAAAAATTTTTGCGCAAAAGGGACAGTGTAGACAGCACAGTATTGTTTTCCACAAAAAAGCCCCCATGGCGAAAATGGCGATCGGGGCTTTTTTGCAGAAAAGCACGTCTAGATTGGCCACGGACGCTTTTCTGCAAAAAACGCTTTTGCGGAAAAGCATCCTGCCAATCTAGATGTGCTTTTCCGAAAATGCTTTTAACGGAAAACTTTTCCGTTAAAAGCATTTTCGGAAAATCATGCCAGTATAGACGTAGCCTCCCAGTGTTTATTACTATGACTCTGTCTCTGATCCCATAAACCTACTGGGCCATGCAGTCGTGAGTACAGTGTGTGGTTGTGCTGGGCCAGCTCCCGTCCCTCTAGTCCTGAAACTAACAATAGCAGAAACAAATCTAAAAAACTAAACATCTTCACTGGCAGGACATTATAGAAATGGGCTGAACCAAAAATGATCTATTTTTAAATTAGTAGCAAATCTCACATTTGATTTTTTGCTTAGTCACCTGAAATGTTTCTGTGTCTCCAGGAAAGGCTACAGGCCCATCTGAAGACTCTGAGAGCCGAGAGAGAAAAGCTGCTGGGACTGAAAGTGAGCAGAGAGGAGACCAGCCGGGAGTACCTGGTAGGTGCCTGGCATTATTGTTATCCCAAAAATATTCTCACTGGAGACCACCCAGGGTTACACTAGTATGGGTTTATTTACACTAGGTAAAACTAAAGAGGAGAAAGCAGCCAGCAAAGGTTTAAGCTAAAGAAGATTGAGCTCTTTCTTTCACACACACACGCGCGCGCACACACACACACACAAAAGCAAGCACACCCACCTCTGTTCATTCACTCTTTCACACCCACTTATTCCTGCCCTCAGGCACTCACCCACTTACACAGGGGCTACATCTACATTGGCAGCTTCTTGTGCAAAAACTCTTCCAGAAGAGAGCATCTACTCTGGCATGTGCCTTTGTGCAAGAGATGTGCTTTTCCACAAGACCATCCGTGCCAGTGTAGACGCTCTCTTGCGCAAGAAAGCTCCGATGGCCATTTTAACCATAGGGCTTTCTTGTGCAAGAAATTAATGTTGCCTGTCTACACTGGTCTCTTGCGCAAGAACAGTTGCATAAAAGGGCTTATTCCTGAGTGGGGGCTTCAGAGTTCTTGTGCAAGAAGCCCATATTTTATATAGTAGAACGTCAGTTTACTTGCGCAAGGGTAGTAGACAGGCCCGTGTAGACAGGCAGCAAGTTTTTGCACAAGAGCGGTCGCTTTTGCACAAAATTGCGCCAGTGTAGACACAGCCAAGCATATGGGTTGCAGAAGGAGCCAAGGCATATGGATCCTGGAGGGTCTGTCTGCCCATCATGGCTGGGGAAGCTGGTTTGGAGGAGAGACACTGGAGAGGAGCTTCTCAGGAGCAGGGGAAGAAAAAAAGAGTCTCACACGTGCTTCCTCTCCTTATTTCCCTTGATCCAGCAGGGAGCATGCCCAGACTGTGATGACTCATTGCCATGTGCTGCATTGTTCTGTCTTCTTCAAACCCAAAAACGCATTCACACTCTCTCCATTCACTCAGGGGAGAATGCAACTTAGAGAAAGTTACAAGCAAAATGGCTGAGAGTTATAAACAGGGGCGGATATAGGGCAGGGCGAACGGGGTGGCCGCCCCGGGCCCCGTGCTTCAAAAAGCCCCGTGCATGCGCTGTGGCGTCACTGCGCATGCGCCATGGCAAAGGGGGGGCCCAGTGGAATTATGCTGCCCGGGGCACCGCAAAACGGTCATCTGCCCCTGGTTATAAAGATTAGAGTTGCAGCTTACATTAACTTTGAGCATTACCAAGATTACAAAGTTTGACAAAGATCACAATGCGTTGCCGTTTAAAACCTTAGACCTTACAGTTTGGTGTAGTTTCAGAAAATCCATGTATATAAATTCAGTAAGCTCAGGCGGAGGCTTTTTTAATGCAACAATTATGACCCTGCCGTTGGAGCAAGCCAGAGGGCGCTGATCCTGAATCAGACACTAAGGAGCGGCCCTAGACTGGATTACGGTTTCTCTTCATCAGTCAGGGAATGAGCATGCAGAAATCACAATTCATTGCTTTAGCAAAATCCTTCCTTAGGGCTGGACCCTAAGCCAGGCGCTTCTACCCTCTGTGCGTTTGTGGACCCCTTTAGAAATGGCAGAGGAAGGTTCTGTGACACCTTTGAAAATCGATTGTCTGTGTGAACAGCTGAATTCTGTCCAGTCTAAGTCTTTTGCTCACATGGTTCATGGCCCCGGGGGCACAAAGACCCCAGGGTGGAAACCACTGCCACACGCTCTGTGAACTGTTATTCTCATCTACTGTCTGTTAACTACGATTAGTTCATTAAACTCACTTCACAAGCAACGATTTATATTAACAAACACAGAATTGGGAATTAGGAAATGCCAAGCCTGAGACCAAAGTCCCAGTGAAACACGTTCGTTTGTCAGTTCCCAGCCTCCCTCAGCCCAGAGTTTGCAGGACGTTTAGTTGTGTCTGGGGGAGTCCTCTTGTGCAATCTCTATTTGTGCTGTTCTCAGTTCCAGCTTAAATCTCTAAATAAAGCCCCGTGTTCCCGGCTGTCATGCGGTGAGTTCTGTCCCTCTGCTCCTTCCTGGCTTAGTCCCTTTGGGTACCTCTACCCTGCACACTTATATCGGAATAAGCTGTTCCAGAAAATATATCCTGAAATAACTTATTTCAAAATAGCGCTTCCACACTACAGGGGAGCCTCAAAATCAGTCTGAGACAGGCTCCCCTAATGTGGATGCGCTACCTCGATGTGCAGCCCCAGGAAGCACTGGGGAGAAATTACTCTGAAAGGCCCTGGGAAGGGGCTATTTCGAAGTAGCAGCTGTGGAGCATCCTGCATGACCGCTATTTTGAAACAGCAATTTCAGAAGAGGCCTTATTCCTCATGGAATGAGATTTACAGAAGTTGAAACAAGTTGCCCGTTAATTTCAATTTATTTAGAAATAACAGAATTGCTGTGTGGATGCTCGCGTTGTTATTTTGGAAGAACGGCCGCTATTCTGTAATAACGCTGCTGTGTAAACGCAACCTTCCTGCCCTAACAGTTTCTCCATTCCTGTCGTTCACCTTGGTGCCTGCTTTTTCTCTCACGGGTTCATTTGGTTTTTTCTTCCCACCTGTCTCTATGAGCATTTGTTTTTTTCTTCCCACCTGTCTCTATGAGTGTGGCTCTGAGTAGAGCTGGGCAAAAGCCAGATCTTTGCTGTCAGAGTATTAACAAAATGGATTGAACAGAAAAAAATCTATTTTTAAAATTATTAGCAAAGGACAAATTTGATTTTTGCTTGGTCAAATGAAATTTTGGGGGCAAAAATCAAAATGTTTTGTTTCAACTTGCCTATTTCCTTAAAAATAATGTTATACAACACAAGGACAGTTTAAAAAATGTCAGACTTTTAAATCTAGAAAAAATTAAGACAATGTTTTGATTTGCCATGTATTTCTTTCTGCAGCACAACAATATTTGGTGACATCACCAGTAATTCATGAAATGTTTCTATAGTGACAAATCTGCATTTTCCCAGGACAAAAAAAATAAATGCAGAAAATGTCACCAAGGTCTAGAGCTGAGAAGGGCCGGACTGAGGGGTGGGCGAGCCAGGCAGCTGCCGATGGGGGGCACCTGATGGCAGCTGTAAGGGGCGCATGGCGTCCCTTATAGCTGCTATCAGGCGCTGTGCTGGCCACCCCCCCATCCCTGTGGCACTGGCCCACCCATCCCCGTGGCGATGGCCAGAAGGGCCCTGCACATACACCCTGGGGGGGCAGGCCCATGGCACATGCTAGGACCAGCCCTGGTGCTGAGTCCTGCTCCCTGCTACTTTGGATCAGCATCACTGGGGCCATCAGCCACTCACAATCCAAAGCACATCAGACATAGAAACGTCCTTCATGAGACACTGGGGCCAAACAGATAGATGTGAGAAAATTTTCTCTCTACTAACTGCAGGAGACTGTTCACTGTCCGGTGACTTAGAATTTGCAAGGACCAGCCCTGGTGCTGAGTCCTGCTCCCTGCTACTTTGGATCAGCATCACTGGGGCCATCAGCCACTCACAATCCAAAGCACATCAGACATAGAAACGTCCTTCATGAGACACTGGGGCCAAACAGATAGATGTGAGAAAATTTTCTCTCTACTAACTGCAGGAGACTGTTCACTGTCCGGTGACTTAGAATTTGCAAAGAGATTCTCCCCCTGCGCATTCACCGCTCTGTGAATGGTCCCAGGCACCATCCATGTTCCCCTAGCGGTGGTGGTAATTTTTTCCCCTTTGGTTCTTCTTCTTCCAGAAACGGACACAAGTCGAGCGGCGGAAGGTTGTGGCCGAGTTTCAGCAGCTGCGGCAGGTTCTGGGGGGACAAGAGCGACTGCTGGATAAGATGATCGTGAAGGCAGGGATTGACACTGTCACCAAACTCTCGGTGCAGATTTCCCGTCTCAGCGAGCGGATCCGGGAGCTGGAGGGGAAGTGTCAGAAGCCAGCGAGTGAATTCCTGCAGGTGAGACTGAGGGGGAAATTCTCCAGATGCCACCACAGAGACAGGACAGCCCCTAACAGGTGGGCACAGGAGTCAGAGGTCACAGCGCAGCTCCGTGTGCACCTTCCTGGCATGCGAATTGTTGTTTTGTGCAGATTCACAGGCACAGAGAGACTAAGCCTCATTCACTCAGGGATCAATGGCTCTGGGGCCAGGCAAAGCCTAGTTCCCCTCACTCGCCAAATCCCTCCCTTGGAATTCACAGTGTGTGTCAGGTGGGACTGAAACTCTCTCTCTCTCTCTCTCTCCCCCCAGGACGTCAGAAGCACCTTGAGCAGGTCAGTAGCTCTCACCCCCTCACAGCGCGGGGGAAACACTGGGCAGTGAAGTTGTCGCTGCCTCTCCCCAGGGCTCCACAGCAGAACGTGCGGGAAGGTCACATTTGGGATTCAAATCTCTGACCCATTTAACCCTGAGGCCCTCGCCCCTTTAGAGACGACTCTGCAACTCCCCAGGGAAAGGCGCAGACTGGCCTGTGGTACATTCTACCCATGTCACCGCCCTGGGGACTGGCTGCCCCAGGACTGAGGGGTGGGACGTGGGCCTGTCCCTGCTGGGCGCTGGGCACCATTCAGCCCAGGGCAGCAGGTATCCAGGATCTTTCCCACCCGAGGTCTGTGTGGAGACCTGTGTGGGATGAACCGGGGAGGGGGAGCTGGTGTCTCAGTCTTGTTCCTAGTGATCAGATTCCTACAGCCCTTCCCCTGGGAACCTCCCATCCCAGAGGCCCAGGGGTGACTTGGCCTTGGAGACTCAAATACTCACTAACCAGAAGTTAAGAACTGAGTCACTCAAGGCAGGATCACAGCGGTTCTTAACCTGTGGGCCACAGACCCCTGTAGGGTTGCCAGGTGTCTGGTATTGGCCCAGACAGTCTGGTATTTGCAGCCTCTGTCCTGTAAAATGTCCGGTATTTTCTATTTCTCTCAGTCAGAAGGGCGCTTGGGCCATTTTCCCCCAGCACTTTCAGTGGAGGTGCAGAGAACAGGGAGATTGGGGATTTAAAGGTTCAGTTATGCTTTTTTTGTATGGATGTGGATTTTTTTTTTCTCCAACCATGTGAGGGGAAGGTATTTTTTGTGAAAGTATCTGGCAACCCTGGACCCTTGAAAAGGCTGGGAAGCACTGCAGTGTCACCATGCGACGTTGTTTCTCCCCAGGTGTGAGGAGGGGCAGGCCCAGCAGCCAGAGGAGATGGCTCCTGAACTGGAAGAACAAGTCCGTGGTTTCTCCAAGAAAGCTATTGCGCTATCGGAGAGTCTGAGGGAGTTCAAAGGTACCTGGGGGATAGAGGAGGGGAAAGTGAGACCGTGGAAGGAGAATGGTGCTGGTCAATTGGTCCATAATTAGATGATGCTTCCATGGAATTGGGGGGTGAATGGCCCAGACTTGGGTTCCAAGACACTCAGGCTGATTAATTCAAACCCTTGTATGTTCAGAAGCAGCTTTTGCAATGACAGTGACTGTGAGAGTGAGAAACGACAGAGAGAGAGAAACACGCCCAGTTCCCTTCTCCTGGGGCACCGGCGGGTCATGGTGCATTTCTCCTGTGATAATAGGACCACCTCTGAGAGTATCTGACCTGTTATATCCATCCAGATTATACTGGATGAGTTCTATTCCAATCACCTTTGTGTTAGGGACAGTAAGTACCTTGTGTGACTTGTACACGGCACACACAGGAACTTTGAATTGCTGGAGCATTTTTGCTGTCCAAGCAATTTTCAAGTTACTCTCTTTTCTGATAAAAGTGACAAGGAGTCCTGTGGCACCTTATAGACTTATGTATTGGAGCATAAGCTTTCATGGGCAAAGACCCACTTTGTCATGTGCATGTAGTGGGTCTTTGCCCACAAAAGCTTATGCTCCAGTACATCTGTTAGTCTAAGATGCCACAGGACTCCTTGTTGCTTTTGCAAATCCAGACTAACACTGCTACCCCTCTGATACTCTCTTTTCTGATGTGCACGGGTCACTTCTCCACAGGGGGGGTTCTGGATGTCATTCTGTTACCCACACAAATTTCTCTATCCCTTCCACACTGTAGGGACACACACACCTTTACCCAGTTCCTAGGGCTCAGGGTGCAACCCTGTTAATTTACACACCCACCCGTACCCAATTCTTAGGGTTCAGGGCGCATATTCCTGTGGGTTTTGCAGGATCTTTAGCCACTGAAAGAGCCTCACACAGTAATATCCTTATCCTCTATTTATTGACAATTCCCAAACAAACAGCATACACATGCTAAGCACACAATATCATAGTCACCAATCCGGGTGCAGGCAGACTTCCCCTGTTGGCCAGGCAATATCAGTCTCTCTGGTCTTTGGCTCTGTCTTGGAGGCGAGTTCTTCTTTTCCAGGTCTTCCTCCTTCTCTTGGTGTTCTTGGTCTTCTTCCAGCCTTTTCTGCTTCTGTTACTCTTGATCTTCTTCCTTGGTCTCCTTCTTGGACCCCATTTTATATAATGAAACCTGAGTCTTGGTTAGCTATACCATAACAAATTATTTTAGTATAATTGTACTAAACAATCATAAAAAAATTACCTAGCCAATCATACCCCACCACCTTAATTGATTTACACTTAGCAAAAATAATTATACAGCAAACAGAAACAGGTACAAACCAGACAGAGATCATACAGTCAGACAATAGGGAAGTGTAATGACAATGATCATAGAATGAGGATTCCACAACATTCTTTATTGATAAGCAGTTTCTGGCCAGACAGAATGGTGTGGCTTCAGTTTTCTTTACCCATCTTGAGATCTGTTTCTTTATCTGGTGATAATGGGGAGCTATCAAGGCAAAGTCCTATTCTCACAGCCTGGTGTGACACTGTTTTAATATAAAATGAATGGAATGTGAATATGTGACTCCAAGCCCTACAGCTAATGGCTGATGCTCTGCAGTCTGGTTGCAGAAGGTGCCGTTGGTTCAGAAATGCCATAGTGTTACACCTCCCTGGCCTGGAAAAGTCGCTTTGCTTGTCTGATGCAAGCACCTTGTATGGGCAACACATCTGTGTCCTGCAGAGCAACTCAGGAACGTGGCACTTTAAGAGCAAGGTCACTTATGGCAAGAGCATGGCTCACCAGGCCCAAGCCAAGCCATTCAGCATCAATCGGCTGGGAGGGAGGAGGAGGAGGCAACAATTCTTGGTGGGGCCCACTCCAAGATTTTGGAAAGTGGCCAAAGGCCACACTTTGCTGTGGTGGGGGTGAAGGGTCTAGGTTGGAGGTTGGGTGCAGAAGGGCACATGGGGTAAGGGACTGGGGTGCAGGAGATGGGGTGGGGTCTGACAGGGAGTTTGGAGTGGTGACCTGGGTCACGGAATTGGGGTGCAGGGTCAGGGAGGGGGTGTGGGTGCAGGAAAGGATTCTGCCCTGAGGGAGAGATGTAAGAGGGCATGCAGGGTCTGGGAGGGAGCTGTGACGGGGGCAGGGAGTACAGAGGGCTTGGAGGGTGACCTAGGGAACTGAGTTGGGATGCAGGAGGGGCTGCGGTGCCAGGGGCAGGTTCTGGCTGGGAGGCACTTATCTAAGTAGCTCCCAGCCAGTGGCCCTGTAGCATCCCCCAAGGCAGGCTGGGCGCGCCGGCTGCCTGCGCCCCACAC